GCATGCACACCGACTGTGGCTCTTACGTGCCTTTGGGTCTGTCCCCACTCCGTGAGCCCAGCCATCCGCACAACTGTGGATCTATTGGGGCCCGTTGTTGCGGTCACTGTGTCGATCCATCTTGTTGAGGGTCTTCCTCTTTTGCACAGCCCCGTTTGCCACCCCTCAGCAAGAGTGACAGTCTCAGAAACCCACAGGGACAGTTTCACCATTCTAAAGGGCCACTATGCATCAGAATCGACTCGATGCCGTGCGTTTGGTTTGATTTGGTTCTACTTTACCAAACACGGTGTCCTTTCCCAGGGACTGGTCTCTCCTGATAACATGTCCAACGTTTGTGAGATGAAGTCTCACGGCCTTCCCTTCTACTGGGCGTTCTGGCTGTACTTCTTCTGAGACAGACTTGTTTGTCCTCCTGGCAGCCCACGGTACTGTCGATTTTCTTTGCCAGCACCCAAGTCCAAATGCACGGGTGCTTATTTGCTCTTCTTTATTCAAAGTCTGACTTTCACAAGCGTTTGAAGCCATTGAAAGTACCACCTAATGGAAAGTCTAAATTTAAAATACTAACCATACCAAGTGCTGGTGAGGATTCGGAGCAACTCAAACACCTATCGCGTGAATTCAAAATAATACAAATCCTTTAGGGAAGAGTGTGTTGGTTTCCTAAAAGCTAACCATGTTACCTACCCAATGACCTAGCCATCTTAATCCTAGAGAAAAGGAGAAAATCCCCAAAGAAAAGAAAATGTATCTACATACAAAGACCTTTCCATGAATGCCCATGGCAGTTTTATTTGTAATCGCCAAAAACAGAAACAAAAACGACAGCAACAAATGGCCAACACATTGTGAATGGATTCAAACATTGTGGTACAGTCAGTGAACTACTTACTATTCAGCAATAAGAAGGAATGTATTATTGATATACAGGACATGAATAAGTCTATAAATAATTATACTAAGTGAAACACACCAGACACCCCCCCACACATAAAAAATACATAGTGTGATTCCATTTGCATAAAATTCTAGAAACTAGCTAAATTCAACAAATTCATCTATAGTGAAAGAAAGCAGATCAGTTGCTGCCTGGGAAAGGGGTGAGGAGGAATTACAAAGGGGCATGAAGAAATTTCTGGAGTGATGTATCCATTAGCATAATTATGATCATGCTTTTTCAGATGTAGCCAAGCCAGAACCCACTGCCTTAAAGTCAATTCCAACTCAGAGAGACCCTGCATAGGGTTTCCAAGGCTATGGATCTTTATGGGAGCTAAAAGCTTCCTCTTCCTGCTGAGGAGCCGCTAGTGGGCTCAAACTGCTGATCTTGCAGTTAGCAGCCCAACAAGTAATCTACTATACCCCTACTATACCCCTTAACAGATGTACAGATATGTCAAAACCTAACCAATTGTGCATCTTAAAGGTGTGCAGTATATTGGATGTCAAATTATCCTTCAATAAAGCTGTTTGAAAATTCAGTGAACTAAAATCTCACACGAAATGCCAACACATAACGATGAAATCACGGCTGCTCTGGTTTGAGTGGGGATGGAGGTCTCATCACCTCTGTGTGTCCTCACCCCAAGTAGCATACCCTGAGATGTCACAGTCCAAGACCCACTGGGCACATCGCCTCTCCCAGGTCCTTCTGAAGCTGGCATTCTGTGGTTCTACAGGATCAGAAAACCATCAGAATGCAAAGACAATCCTGGGAAAGTGTATTTCAGCAGGCTGAGGTTGGGGAAGACGATATGTGCGTTAGAGTATTTCTATAGAACACCTTCGGGTTTTCATTCCGGTATGTCCTCCTTTACCACTACTCACCGCTCTGAGCGGTCCTGGATAGAGTGGAAAACATATGAAACAAAACACAAAGTCATAGAAAAAAGACCAGGCTTACTGGTGGAATAGAGACCGGTGGAACCCTTGAGACCATGGCCCTTCCTCACCCTGCAGGTCTGGGACTGAACTCACCGTCCGGCTCAGTTTTCAGTCAAACAATAGACAGGTGTAGCAGGTGAAGGGCAGCGCCACCAGGGAGGTGGAAACTTTTTAGAATAATCAACCACTTTAGATCGGAAGGCAGCGTTTGCCCAAGGACAAAATCCAGATGGCAGGAAGTATTCAGAAAGGGGAGGGGTGGAAATGGGAGACACAGGGGGAAGAGGTGAAGCTGATGTTGCATAGTAGGGTTTGCCGTCAATGACATGAAACACGCTATGTGTGTGAATTACCCAATGGACAACGGATCTGCTCTGGAAAACTTCATCCAGTGACACACGCCCACAGTTGCTGTGTTTTGAGGGGGGTGGGTGTTTGTAGTATACTAATAGCTACCAGCGTCGAGGGACAACTACTTAAGGGACTGGAAATTCTTTCCTTCAGAAACTTCACAGTGCAATGGGAATCAGTTGGGCCCCTGATTAGATGGATCTGGACCAAAGAGCCTCCAAAACTGTGGATGGTGAAGGGCTCTCTTTGCTCCTCCTGGGTGGCGAAGGAACGGGCATCGTGGTGGCTGTGCCATGGGCCTGAGTGCTTTCCACAGTCTCTGACCTTCAGGGGCAGCTGTTCCTCTGTCAGGCGTGGCAGTGACCCCCAGCATGTGTGCTAGGATGATGAGGGCTCCTTCCTGTCTAATCCCTCTTCTAGTCCTACCACCAGAGAACTGCCACCCCTTCTGAAACTGTCAGTGCCCAGTGATGCTCAATAGACAACTGCACTTCCAGACCATAATATCATGGCCCCTTTTACCAGGGAGAAGATAGGACTTGTTCCTCCTGCAAAGACCTCTCCAAGGCTCGTAGGGAAGCCCCATCTTCCACTCTCTTGCCTGTGGGCAGCACATGATGCTACTTATAGCTCCTTCCCTGACTTGTACACATGGGGAACTCATAGGTTCTCCCCTGGGAAAATATCAGAGGCTCTTCTGGAAAAGAGCTGTCTCCCTCAGTTACACACCTTCTCTGGGGCCTGGGGCTGCTCTCTCTCTCTGAGACCTTTGTCAAGTCCACACTAACACCCCCAAATCTCAA